ATAAAATATCTGAGGTAGGTAATTTATAAAGAAAAGAGGCTTATTTAGCTCACAGTTTTGGAGGTTCAAAAGTTTGGCATTGACATCTGCTCAGCTCTTGAGGGGTCCTTTGGCTGGGTCACATGGAAGATGACATCATGGCAGGAGTGTGTGGAAGAAGGGAGCCATCATATGGCAAAATAGGAAGGCAGAGAGTGAATCAGGGGTCAGACTTGCTCTTTTGTAACAATCCACTCTCACGGGCACTTAATTCCCTCCATGAGACCAGCATTTACTTGTTCTGATAACAGTGGCTTCCGTGACTTAATGACCTTGCACTAGGTACCACCTCTTAATAYCACCATCMTGGGGACCAAGCTTCYAACACAGGAACCTTAGGAGAATGAACCACATCCAGACCCTAGCACCCCAAGTGCCCAGCATGGAGGAAATGATAGAACAACCTTGCTGATCAATACGATGACATATTTTTGTGGCCACGATAAATTTTGGAAGATATTTAGTGTTGTAGCTCCAAAGCAAGTTAATCTACAAAATCACAGGAGGGAATGAAAAAAATAACAAGCCATTTCCAAAAGGTTATATGACGAACCATTCCACTCACATGACATTCTTGAAATGACAAAAGTGTAGAAATATAGAACAGACCTGCGATTGCCAGGGGTTAATGGAGAAGTGGAAGAGGGAGAGTGTTGGTCCTGGCTGTCTGAGGGTCCCTGGGGGCTCTTGGTGGGGATGGAGATGCTCCGTATCTTGGCCACAGCAATGGCAGCGTCTTGGTCGTGACGTTCTCCTACAGTTTTAGGAGAAGTTACTATCGGGGGAAAGTAGGAAAAGGGCACAYGGGATCTTTTTTCAGAACTGCATGTCAATCAAAAAGTTTCTCAAAATAAAATGTGTAATAAAAAGAAAATCCTGGGACTTTAAAAAAAATGTATGTATAAAAACGTCAGCTGCATTAGAAGAATGCAAATTTGGGGTGCCTCAGAGTGGAGGATTGTTCTTTCCTGCTCTGTACTGTATTTTTATGTACTCCACAGGGAGCCTGATCSTAGGTTTTTATTTYRAAATAATGTTAGACCTACAGAAAAGGGGCAGAAGTAGTCCTGAGAGTTCTCAGACTCCTTGTCCATTGTCCACTAATGTGATTGACATCCAGAATTGGCACTGCTGCAGTTCCATCGCCGTCCTTCCCAGTCCTGGGGGCCTCTCCAGTGTTTGCAGTTACCTCCTCTTGGCCTTTCGTGGCCTTGGAGGTTACTGGTCAGTTACCCTGTGGAAGGCCTTCCCTCCGGGCTTGTCGGATGTCCGCTCATGATTACCTTGAATCGTGYATTTTTGGCAAGTAGAGCACGGAGGGTGATGTGGTGGCCTCTGTTCCCCATTCGAGGGGGACTGTATTGCTGATGTCCAGTGACTCTCATTTTGACCACGATGGCATGGTTCAGGTGGCACCTGTCAGTCACTATTTTTTTCCTTTGTGATTAATTAGCATACTGGGGAGATCCTTGAGGTTTTKCAGGTACCCTGTCTCTCCTCAAGCTTTCCTCCTCTGATTTTAGCACCCATTGGTACCTCTATAAGTGATTACTGCCCTGTTTGCATAAGAGGGACTTTCTGTTTCCTGCATCCCTTTTACATTTATTAATGAGGATTTCTTCTCTCCCTCCCCAACCAAATACCGGTGCCTTCAACCAACTTGGTATCGGGAGGGCCTCGGGGATGTTCATCTCATCCCCTGGTCTGCAATTCCATTCCATGTGGTTGCTCAGATTGTTCCAGCTTGGGCTATTGGGAGCTCAGGTTAACTCCTTGGCCCTTCGACCTGCCCCCAGGGCACTTTGAACCCTTCTTTATATTCTAGCCATATAAGATGCTGGAGGTTCATCTCCAACGTCCCCTCTGAAATCAGCCACTTCTCCCAGGAGCTGGGCTTCCTGGGCTGGTTGAGTGGTATTTAGAAACCATGGTCTGAGCGCTGGATGTGCTTGTGGCTGTTGGGACATCTTTGTTTCTAGTCCTCGTCAATAAAAGAGCTAAGGAACACACACACACACACACACACACACACACACACACACACACCTCTTCTGCACACCCAAATCAATATTTATTTTATTAGCTGTTTCTCTCTCTCTCCATCTAGTAGACACGTCTATCTGCCTGATTCTTAAAACATTCCTTTAATTCCAGGCCAAAGCCCCAGGGATCCTCAGAGGCTGTTTCTCTCTGACAGCTCTTACTGTGGACAGAAGGTCGACTGCCTTGTCCAGCCCTTGCCTACGCAAGTGGTAGTTTCAGGATTGCTATTCCCTGCCCCTGTGTGAGATAAATATAACTGCAGTACAGTATTTACATGGAGTCCTTTAACCTTGGAGAATCCAGTCAGAATAATGTTGTACGCAGTTGCTTAAGGCTAGCTTTTTAAACCTCTCACTTCARTGGGGTGTGATTCATGTGGAAGAAGGAGGCTGTGTGCACTTGTTACTGCTTAAATTCCGTTTTGAGTTCTCCAACATGTGATTGATCTTGACTGTTTATTTTTTTTTGGATCGTACACATAGATAAGCTCAGAGAAGTATGCACCTTTCTCATCCTTATTCCTGGATTCTGTTCCCGGTTCCTCATTCCCCCTGTTCCTTCCCTACCCATCTGCAGTTGTTCAATTTCTGGTTGATCCTTCCTGTATTTCTTTTGTACAGATGAGCCAACACATGGTTGTGATTTTTATCCTTTTTTTCTTTTCCTCACCCCCTTCTCTTCCTATATGAACGACAAAATACTCTAGGTCTTCTTTGGCACTTTTTTAAAAAAGATTTTTTAATAGTTGAAGACGGACAGCGAGCCTTTATTTTATTTTATTTTATTTTATTTTTTATGTGGTGCTGAGGATCCAGCCCAGTGCCTCACCTGTGCTAGGCAAGTGCTCTGCCACTGAGCCCCAGCCCCGGCCCCTTCTTTTGCACTGTTTTGCCCACTTAACAGTATATCGTGGGAGTCATTTCCTATCCGTTCTCAGAGCCCTTCCATAATGAGCTTTTTAARCTCTGGTAATTGGGGGAAAAAAAAAGTTCTAGTAGCTGAAGGGTCAGTTTTAAAATTCTAGTGATGATGATAAATGGCAGAATCTTTCCACTAATTGAGCATCTGCTGTATGCCGTGCTCTGTACTAAGTGCTTAATGTAGGTCATCTCATGGACTACTTACCAGAGCCCTGGGAAATAGACGGCACTTGAAATTCGTGGATGAAGAAACAGGTTCGACAATATTTAGAAACTTGCTCAAGGACGAAGATCCAGAGCTGGAATCGGAAGGCAGGGCTCTCCCGGGTTTGTGCTTTGAGAAGGGTTCACCAACACCATTAGGGTTGTTCCAGGTGGAAACAAGGCCACGTGGGTTTTTAAAACCTGGACACGTCCCAGGCTTTTACACCCTGTTGACTGTGAATCAGCTGCTGCCAAAGTGGGCACGTTACAAAGGGCAGGAACACGGAGGTGATTTAGGGCCTGTTTGTTCCAAAGAAATGGCCCTTCCTTCTGGGAGGACTTGTAGGTCCTGCTTCTAAGACAGGAAGCAAGAGGGCTGCTCAGTGGAGCCTGCTACCTGGACGTGGCCACAGATCCTATCGTAACACCTCCCAATCACCAACCAATGCAGTGAGCGCCATTCACAAGAAAGTGCATTACCCCACAGAGCCRTTTGGTTTAGCAGGACACTCCATCAAGCCCGAGTTACAACCGTTTCTGTCCAGACTGTTTATATGGCAGGAAGGCAAGATGAATTTCTTCTTTTGTGGAAAATTACAAACCTTGGGCAGAGAAGCYGTGCCATCGAGTTGATTGGGATCATGGCTTCTTGGAATCAGGGGTGCCCAGGGCCTCACGCAGCTCTGTGTGACATTGGGCAGGTCACTTGATCCTCAGAATGCATCTATGAAATGGGGATGAGCACTTGACGTCCGTGATGGGGGTCCCCAAGGCCATCCGAGATGCAGCAGTTTTCCTAGGATTCACTTAACCCCGTGTATAGTCGTGTACCTTGACCCTGATTTATTCCAGGGAAAGGATACAAAGCCGAGTCAACAGAGGTAACAGGGCGGGGGTGGGGTGAAGTCCAGAGCAGAGCAGGCCCTGGTCCCTTCCACAGGATGCCTCTGATTCCCTCGCAGTGGGTGGTGACMTGTGTGAAGTGTTGTCTACTGAGCAGGCGCATTAGCGGGTCAGTGCCCAGAGTGTTTATCCTGGATGGCCGCAGGAGCCCCTTCAGCCTCACATGTCCCCAGATTCCAGACTCTCGAAAGGAAAGCAGGTGTCAGCGCAAACTGTTCCATTGGCCTAAACACTGTAGGCACAGGGAGCTGCTCTCTTCAGTTAGGGTGGAGGGACCCCTCCCCAAATCCAGGTTCCCAGGCTCCAGCCAAGCAGGAGCACCCTGCCTGCAGGCCTCTGTAAGGAGGGCCKTGTGCGGCGTGAGCTCCTCTGCATGCCTTCCCGTTGGGTGGCCGCTGGGGGATTAGAGGAGATAATCCGGGCAGAGCGCTTGGCATAGGGCCTGGTACAGTGAGCGCGCTAAATGTCCACCGTGATTACCTTGACACCCGGGAAGGAATTTCAGTGGATTCTTCAGCATCTTGAGATGCAAGCTCAGCCATCGCCCCCCCCCCCCCCCCCCCCCCCCCCCCCCCCCCCCCCCCCCGGGCCGGCTCACCCTCCACCTAGTCCTTCCTCTGTTGGGCACCTGGGGTTGGGTGCCTGGGGGTGCAGAGGTTGTGCGGCGCAGGATCAGCCCCTCCCTTCCTGGGGGGGGGTGCTGCATGTGGGGGTCGGAGCTCGCTGGGCATCCCAGGTGGGGGTGGGGGTGCGCGTCCCTCCGAGACCCCCAGGTAAACCTGCAAGGGCTCATYGCACATTCAGAGGGGACAGGAGGAAGACGCGGTGGCCTGGGACCTTACCGTCCCGACTGACGTCTCGCTGTTTCTCCGTCTTTTTTCCTCTCTGCAGCGAAAGCGAAGTCCAAGTGCGGCCCCACGTTCTTCCCCTGCGCCAGCGGCGTCCACTGCATCATCGGCCGCTTCCGGTGCAACGGGTTTGAGGACTGTCCTGACGGCAGTGACGAGGAGAACTGCAGTAAGTGCCACCCCTGACCTTTCCAGCCAGCCAGGTTGTCCCCTCCGGCCWCGCCATCTCTGCGCTGCCCACCTGCAGCTGGCTCTCCTGCTCCTACCCACAGCCTGTCTCTGCTGCTTCTTCCTGGTGTTTATGTAAATGCTCAGCTGCAACTTCMCGGGGGCCTTACAGGTGCACTGTGCCTGAGCGGTTCCCACACTAGCCCTGCAAACGCAGGTGTCTTGTCCCCAGTGAACACACGAGGAGCCTGGAGTGAGGAGAGCCCAGACCACTCACCAGTAGCAGAGCCATTTCCAGCTTCACTCAAACCCTCACCTGATGGACTCTGACTCAGTACCCCGTGTTCATGTTCTTSCTTGCTTTCCTTCCTACTTTGAACTCTCTTAAAAATGCTTATTATACGGACCATAAGAATATGTTGTTGAAACAGTGATGAGTAGGATGACATTGTTGACTGTGTCTGCCCTGGTTCCTTTTTCCTGCTGTATAATAGTCCATGATATCAGTATATGGACAGACAGATGTGCACACAGAGACAGACACACGCGCGCACACACACACACACACACACACACACACTGTCACCTCTGCTCTGTCCCTCCTTGCCTCGGGGCAGTCTTGCTGCTGGGCTTGATTTCTGTTTGGCCTGGGTACATGCAGGCATTCCTGTTTCCACAGTGACCGGCAAGTGCTTCATCCCTGCTGCTGCTGGACACCCTGGTCACTGGTTCTGCTTCCTTTCCCCTGCCCGTTCCACTACTTGACCCTCTGTGCCCGTTGTGGGAACTGAGCAGATCCACACATTTCTTTTCTGTGCTCATGTTTTTAAGCAGTTTGAGGTTTTAGCCCAACTAAGAGGAAGGTACCGGGGTCCCCTATGCCCCGCCTCCCCCTGGGAGCCTGCCAGGGTCAGCACCCCCACCAGAGTGCATTTGTTACACCTGGTGACCCTGCAGCCACACRTCATCACCTCAGTCCCTAGGACATGTTAGGGTTCCCTCCCGATGTCGTCCACGCTGTGGGTTTGCACAGACGTGCAGTGACACGGATCCACCCCTCTCGCCTCCCGCAGAATCATGCAGTGGCCTAGGAACCCTCGTCCACTGCCCGCTCCTCCCTCCCTGTCCACCACCCGCCCACCACTCTCATAATTTTATAATATTCTTTTCTTCTGATTATTGTAAAGAAGTTAGGGAACAAAGTGTAACAAAGAAACCAAACGGCCCACAGCCCGTAAGTCAAAGTGAAATGCTGTTAATGTGAGCAACTTGGTGCCAGTCTATCTTCCCTCTTTCCACACATGTACAAGTATGTGTGTATGTGTGTCTGTACAGATATACACGCATGTGCACACACTCAGTACACATACACACACACACACACACTCCTGTAATGGACTTAGTTGTGATGTGCTCTTCGTTGTGACCGTTTTCTCGTGTTATTCATTTCTTTCTAAAACATAAGTCTCGGTGACTCAGAGATGGTGTGGATGCACTGACCTTCCCCGGCCTCTGGTTCTGTTTTAAGTCCCTGGGGCGCAGGCATCTGTCTGCTGTGCTATTTGGGCAGCTTCAGGGAGCTGTCAGTCACGGGGCCCCTCCTCGTAGGAACACAGGACGTTCCCCCCACGTGCCTTCTCCTGGGGCTGCCTGTCATCTCTGGCTCTCAGCTGGCAGAGGCCTGGCACAGCCGGGGGACTGTTGGGTGGGTGGTAGGGTGACTGACACCCGCCTCGGCAGGGAGCACACAGGTCACTCACAGGAGCTGGAGGTGGGTGTGGGTAGGATCTGCTCGCGGGTGGTTTCCTGGTCTCCCGGCCCGGGCACTGAGCGCCTGCGTCCCAGGGTGGTTGTTGGTTGTGAGAATTAGACGACATAGTATCCGAGAAGGGCTTCGTCTTGTGGCTGGCCTGGAGCCATTGATATAAAAAATAGTGATCTAAAACAAAAGTGCGCGAGGCTAAAGGCAAAACCATATTATTAGGATTTTGCCTTTGGCTTGGGATCTCCAAGAACATACTTCTTATATATTTTATTTAGTCCTTTAGGAAATGAAGACAGCTTGGCCTCAGCTTCCTACTGTCACAGGATCTTATCATCTAAGCTGGAAGTGACACACACATGCACACACACACACACACACACACACACACACATGATTAATCCAGGGGCAATAAAAAGCAAGCGCTGCTAATGTGTATATTCAAAAGTGATTGTGTCGTCCCATGCTCCTTGCCATAATTCAGGGCACTGTAAGATTCCCATGTTTGGATATTGCCCTTCAGTTGACCAAGGGAGACCATTATACCCATTATACCCATTCCAGATCACTAAAGTAGGAATTAAGCCTACACCTGTCATTTAAAATTCGTGGTTCTAACTCCCTCTTTTGAAGACTGGAAAATAAAAGGAAAGAGTCAGACACTTATCTTTCCTTTCAGTATGAATTGCACCTTCCAGTAACCAGAGAGCGGACTTAAGATTAAGTACATCTTTTTTCTGTAAGAATGCTAGCTAACAGAGGAGCGGTAGAGTGAGGGTATGTATTTCTGTTTCGTAACCCCTAATGAAGCCTGGATCCAGTTAGTGGTCATCAGTGGTTGCTGAGACCCTTGGGTGGAAAATGTGGATGGATCAGGCTGAAAACCCCTGAAGCCACCTGTCCGTCTTTTCAGACAGCTGTGAACTATGTTGCACCACTGCAATGGAACGTGGAGACTTGACTGTGGGCTCGTTAGGTTGCGGCTGTCACATTGCCCATCTCCATTCATTCAAGAGAGCCACAAGAGGGTGTTTTGATTTTTCACTGTAAAGTTTCCAGGGTATGTTCAGGGCTTCTTGAGAARAGAATATCGAATTTACCCAGTCAGTTCCCGCTCAGGTTCCTTCCCTCCCTCCTGATGTTCCACGTCCCCTTCTGGGATCCTTCCCTCTGTCTGAAGAACTTCCGTTAGCCGTTCTTTTAAAGCACGTCTTCTGGCAACAGATCCCCTCCATTTTTCATTCTGATAACGTCTTTATTTCACCTTCATTCCCGAAGGATATTTTTATGGTGTKGGAAATTCGGGGTTAATCCTTCTTTTCTCTAAGTACTTCAGACGTGCCTCTTCTTTTTGGCTTCTCTGATTTCCAAAGAGAAATTTATAGTCATTTGGATCGTTTCCCCAAAGGTTATGCCTTGAAGTATATATTTTTTCTTCTTTTCTCTTTTTGTCTCTACTTTTCAGCATTTAGATGATGGTGTTGACTGTCTGTGTCACAGGTGTCTTCTGTTCAGGGTTTCCTGAGGTTTTGCGTTTGCCGTACTTTGTACATTTTCAACTCTTCCATATTTTGTAAGTACTGTCCTCTTTTTTCTTTCCTGATGGGATTCTGATGACAACAATGTCGGGTCTTCTGTCACTGTCCCACGAGTCCCTGAGACTCTGTTCATTGTCCGTCATTTTCTTCTTGTTCAGGTTGGATTATTTTGATTCTTTCTTTGGTCCCTTTCTTTGCAGCTTATCCAGTGTTGGATTTGGCTTTAAGTTCAGTTGCTGTATATTTCCCTTTTGAAATTTYCTCTGGGTTCTTCGGTCTTCCGTGGCTTTGCTGAGACCGTGTGTGTCCGTTTGTTTCAAGGGGGTTTGGGATTGCTGGTTAGAGCATTCCTAAAATAGCTGCTTTAAATTCTTCGCCCTGGAAGTCTGACAACTGAGTGTTCTGGGGTTGATCGTCTTTCTTATCCTGGGGTCTCCRTGGGGCGAGTGATTTCAGATTGTATTTTGGGTATTTTGAGTGTCCGACACTCTGGATCCTTAGATTTTTGTTTTAGTAGGCAAATGACTAGTTGGGTCAAACTGCATGTCTCTACCTCTGTGGGCTGTGGTTTTAATAGTTTTCAGACTGGTTTTTTGTGCTACTGTTTGGCTCTTTCCTGCATGAGCACCCTCAGTTGTCTCTCTGTGAATTAATTCTCAGTGACTTTGGTGCACTCATTAGGACCAGATCCACTCTGGTGCAGCTTGGGGAACAGCCTAGGAGTTCAGAAACATCTCTATGGCATGACTTTCAAGATCCTCTCCTTGTTCTGTCTGGCCCTTTCCAGTTTCTGAGACTCTAAGGACAGTGGGAAGGATGGTAGATTCACCGCCATTTTGCTGATAGTTCAGATTTCGGTCTTCCCCMCTTGAGCTGCTCCAGATCACTTAACAGAGTCTGTAGAGAGTGGCTGCCTGCCTCCCAGCCTGGCTTCTAAGGCTGCCTTCAGTAGGAGAGCCAGAGGGAGGTGGGATTCCTGTCTCTGCCCTGTCCTAGGAATCTCCCAAAAGCCAGTTCTCGCTGCACAAAAAGAGACACAGCTAGACGTTATTTGGCTTCTGATGGAAGGCAGCTGGAGCCCCCATCACCACCGAGAGGTGCTTCTGCCAACAGCATCCCAGCTGAGCCTGGCTGAGCCTCTAAATCTCACCATTAGTTCATAGGAAACTCAGGGAGAGAGGAACACGGTAATGACCCCATGGGGAGGCACACTGCCAGATGCACCGTGTGGGGGATTCTTCAGGGCCCAATTCCATCCATAAATAAATTCTAAGAAGAAACATAGAGGAAGGGGAAACCAAGGATTCAAAGAGGCCAGGAGATACATTAACCCCGTGCAGTGTGTGGATCTTGTTTGAATCCTAACTCCAAGTAACTAAGACATTCCCAACATTTATTTTTGCATTTGTTTGGAAAAAAAAAAAATCCCCTAATAAGATGACCTAAGAAACGAAATTGAGATAATTGGTGATTTTTGAATGGCAGTTGGATATTTGATGATATGAAAGCGTTGTTGTTATTTTTTTTTTAAGTTTGAGAATGATATTGTGACTGTTTTTTAAAAATCCATATCTTATAGAAATATGTATTGAAGTCTATAAAGCTCTGATTACGTGATGTCTGGGTGTGCTTGGAGCCAGTCCCACCAGGTCAGGGAGGGTGATCAAGGGTGGGGCAAACAGAACTGTCCGGCAGTTGGTA